ATTTTACTACCTTTTCAGAATAAATGGCGCAGTGGCGCCCATGTTGGGCGCTGCAGCGCCAACTCTAAAAACAAATAAAAATAAAAATAAAAATTTTAACAGCGACTCTGGCGCCGTGGTGCCCAATTTCTGTGCCGCGGCACCCAACCCTTGTTTTAAAAAACAAACACGATCCCTCTTTCTTTTTATCTCCCTACCCCAAACCCTTTTATTCTTTTCCTCTCTCAAGTCTCCCCCTCTTCCTCCCTACACTCGCACACACCTAATTCTCTCATACTACCCCACCTTTACACACATTCACATCTATAACAAGCCATATCTTAGAATTGAAGGGTTATTGAATAGTTCTTCAAAGAAGGTACGGTCTTTTAAAATGCAATTTTACATCCTTTGGCTTAATTTGAACTTCTAGTAGTAATCTTGTTTGGGGCTACGTCACATTCTCATTTTTCTTTGTTGGATTGTGCTTTGGTAAAGAATGTGTGGGTTTTTGTTTTTATCTTCGAAATTATTTTGTTGTATGCCTACAATATGTTTGTTCTTCTACCTCTTTGACGCTCTTTACCAATGTTGGGATCTATGTTAGAAGACTTTGCAAATTTCTATGGGCTTGGATTTTCCTGACTATTGATTTATTGTCTTGCCCATAAAGTGTTTGATAAATTTCACCAAAGACTTCTTTTGCGCTATTCTTGGGATATTTTTGATGGCTTGCATTATGCTTTGTACTTGATTATTCTAACCACCTACCACATGTTCGATATATTGTTTCATTAAGATTTTCGTGCTTACTTGGGACATACTTCATTTACTAAGACAAATTCATTGAATTGATTTAGGTAGCCGATTAACTTCACGTGATATTGGGAAGAACACTTACTCCATGCCTCCTAAAAAGAAATCCAAGGTCACTGCCTCTTCCTCTACTACGCGTTTGATCGAAGATGATTCATTAGTTCTGAAGCAAAGGAACGCTATAAATAAAGTGTGATACATCGGAATTGCATTCCTGAGAGGGGCCTTGAAAATTTTTTACCAGATAAAATACACAATTTGGGATGGGAGAAGTTTACCAAGCAACCTACAGCTGCATCCATTCCTTTGGTGAAAGAATTCTTTGCCAACGCCAATGAACACGAGAACCTCAAAGTTTTTGTCTGGGGTTTTTGGATCAAGTTTGACAGTGCTTCAATTAACAGGTTCTACCACACGCGGGATATACCCAATGATGACTATTCCTGACTATGCGATGAGGGGGTCGATCTCGATGAAATAATTTGCACTATAGCTCACCTCGGTACTGAATGGAAAAGATCAGCTAGTGATGTAACTCACTTTCCTTCCTCTGGTCTGATACCTAACTGTAAAATTTAGCACCACTTCATATCATCCAAACTGATCCCCACTAGCAACACCAGCTAGGTCACCAAGGAATGGGCCTTACTGAATTTTGTGATTCAGAAGGGGTATTCTATTGATGTTGGCAGAGTCATTCAAAACAGCATTCTTCGCATCCTAGCCGGGTCAGCTACAGGCAGTTTGGATCACCCCTCTTTGATCCATGACCTTTGCATACACGGGAGTCTTCCCGTGTGAGAAACTCATGAAGTGTTACACCTGAAACAACCACTTACACGAGAACTCCGTGATAGGCGTGTGGGACATCGGGACGTGTCTGGCGTTTCTCAGTCATCTTGTCCATTACCTCCTACACCACCACCTCCACAACCTGCTGATGCTACGGGGCGCATCCTTGGACGTCTTGAAACCATGGATTTGTGCATGACTCGATGGCATGCAAGTACAAATAAATCATCTACAATCCACCATCTTTGACCAGTTTCATTACCAGGACGCTTGCATGGCGGTCATGGCATCTGCACACCCCGAGCTCACCTTCCCTCCACTACCATCGT